CTGGATGCATCTGATGATGCGCTTCGGCGTCAACATCCTGAACGGAAGCTGAGAAGGGCCCGATTCAAGATTCGCAGATCCAGGATTGGCCGAAGGCCACTGTCTTTCTTGGGCACAATGAAGTAAGGGCTGTAAAACACTGACACCATTTCGGCTGGAGGGACAGGCTCGATTGCATCCTTCGCCAATAGGACAGCAATCTCCGCGCACAGGACAGGGGGCGTCTTGGACTGCCACCAAAGTCTTGAGGACGCCACCGAATCTGGGGGGTCGCCTGTCCGAATGAGCCAGTGGGACGGGTTGGGCAGCATGAGCCACGCCCCCAAACTCCGTGCGAGTGGCACCAAAGGGACAATCGACATACCCGCAGTGGTGCAGCGGTGGGAAGTCGTGCTGGACAGCCCAGAAAGCACCGCGTTCTGGCTCATCACGGCAGGGCTCCCCGTGTCCCATGCGTGGGAAGGCATTGTGTACCCGAACTGCAATCGCTTGGCCGCTGGCAATAGTGGGTGTCGTGGGCGAGAGTGAGGAGGCAGCGCGTCGCTCACTGTCAACCCATGAGCCTGATGGCCCAGAGGAAAAGCAAACTGCTCTTTGTTTGAGAATGTGGTTTCCACTGGCCCTTGGGCCAGCAGCGGAACAGAACAAATGAAACAAAAGATTCTCCATCCGGCCCTCCTCTGGGGGAAGGAGTGGCGCTCTCATCACCATCTCCGGAAGAGAAGCAGTTCCTCACATTTCTGGGCTGTCTGTGTCAGGGCCGCCTCGTCATCTTCCTGGAGGACTTAGCAAGCAAGGCTTGACACACCGGCATGGTCTCAGCATGGGGCGAAGCAGCCGCAGGAGGGTGCCCTCGGCAATGGGCAGGCTGAGGCGTGGCCTGCTGCGGAACGGTGGCAGGTGGAGAATCACTCCGGGGCTGGATGTGCTGGATAGCCTCAGTCTGCCTCTGTACTGCCAAGAACTGCTGGGTGAAGTTCTCGACAGCATCGCTGAATAGCCCAGCCTGGGAGATAGGAGTGTTAAGAAAGTGCACTTTGTTGACGTCACTCATCTCAGCAAGGCTGAGCCATAGATGGCGCTCTTGGGCCACAAGTGTGGACCGCGCTGTGACCTTCGTAGCCCGGAGAGCGAAGTCGGTCGCCGAGCGCAGCTCCTGCATCAACCCCGGGTTGGTACTGCCCTTGCGCATTTGTTTGAGTGCCTTGGCTTGGTGGACCTGCAGGATCGCCATGGCATGCAGGGCAGAGGTGGCTTGGCCCGCAGCACTGTAAGCTTTGACGGTGAGAGCCCCTGTCAGCTTACAGGTTTTGGACAGGAAACGAGGACGAGTCCTCCAAGTGGTGGTATTTTGCAGGCACAGGTGCACCACAACCGCACTCTCCACCTGGGGAATGTCAACGTACCCCTAGCCACCCCACCATCAAGGGTAGTGAGGATGGAGGAGGCGGACGAGTGTCTTCCGGGCCAAAAAAACGGGGTCGTCCATGACTTCATCAGCTCCTCATGCACCTCCGGGAAGAAAGGAACCGGGGCAGGCCATGGTCGCGAGCCACGACCCGTGCCGAGAAACCAATCATCTCACCGCAAGGGCTCGGGACTGGTAGGTGTGCAGGCCTCCAGCCCAATGCTCACAGCAGCCCGGGAAAGCATGGCCGTCACTCTGGGTCCGATTCGGCAGTGGCGACAACACCCGAGGGGGGCAGCCCCGCCGAATCTTCATCCTCAGAAGATGATCGCCTATCCCCCGATGCTGCGATCGACATCTGATCCTCTATCGCCGCACCAAATTAAATGCTGAGCACGCCGTGAGACAGCACAGCAGAATCACCGGGGAGCCGCACAGAACAGCTGCTGCGGGAGGGGTGAGAGGTCCGTGGGCACTGGCCCAGCGGAAAGGCTCTCACTGCAACCTTCAGATCGCCCAGAGAACTAGCCGATGGTTCTCTGCTCGTGGCAGAGAAGCCAGTGCAGGTAGTGAGAGAGGGAGCCCCTCCCATCCCTGTGAGGAGAGAGAGGCGCGAACGCAGCGCTGCCATGGTCACACGCTCACAGTGAACGCATGAACCATCCATGAACGCAGCTTCAGCGTGCTGGATGCCCAGACACCGAAGACGATGATCGTGGTTCTCGACAGAGGACAGGAAACGACCGCAACCAAGAGGACACAGATGGAACGGCGTCTTTAAAATGACGCGAGCCGTCCGTGATCAGAAAGTGCTATTTTAGATGAAGCACCCAGGGGAATTGCTGAACTAACAGGGATGCCGCTGACTGTGCCGTAACGCCACCCAGAACAGCGTCTTCTTCCAGCAGCAGAGAGAATTCGCCTGGTTAATCTCGAACTGTGTTCATTCACTCGGCTCAGAAGCAAAAATCTGATGAGTGGATGCACCTGTCGCCTATTTATACCCACATGCAGTGTGGATATGGAGTGGCTCAAATGTTATTCGAACACTGACTTGAACATTAACTCTTTTTGAATAGTTCAGAAGTTATGTTATGAGGTGTTTGTGTTTGTTTGTGTGTGTGTTTGTTGATGTTTTTGAGGTTTGAATGACGGTTTCACATGTCCTCTTTATTCTCTCACACGCACTCATCTGGTGAAGTGGAAGTTTCCTTCTTTTATGCAAACTGACACTACTCAAAAGTGATCCCACAATGCACCTCTCTGTTTAATTTACTGCAGACATACACTGCATGGATCACTTACTACCTAAGTTATTTTTTACAGTTTATTGCAGCTGGAAGTAAATTAATTGTATAAAAAGTTATTAATTGTATAAAAAAATACAAAAAGTTGCCATTAGCCTGTTAAAATAATAGTAACATCCACTACACAAGAGGTAGTAAGTCTTTTGGTTTGTCCATAGTAAACATATACAGATGTCACTAGTGGCCCTCACCATTTCCTTCAAACTCAAGATTGAAAGTGAAGATACTGTTTATTTTCTCTTTTTACTTCTCTGTTTTTTGCTACTCAGCTCTCTTTGATTTTAGTGAGGATGTGACGTGTGTTTTGAGGATTGTTTCTGGTCATGGCAGGTGCTCCTGGGCTCAAGAAGTGTTTCGAGAAGAGGCCCAAGAATTTCTCCTTACAGCCACTGAAAGTTGGTGTCCTCTTTCAGGACACAGCAGATTCCTGAATGTGTGTGTGTGAGTGTGTGAGGGAGAGAGAGTTGCTAAATAAGCCTACACGACTTTAAAGATGTCTTGTCCCTCATTTGTTGGATATGAATATGAGCATAGCAACATAATTCATAAACAGAAGGGACAAAAAAAACGCTGTTTAACAAAATGACATTTTTCATCATGTATGTGCAGCACACAAATATGCAGAACCACAAGAGATACACAGACCTGACCACAGAGAGCTTCACGCTTATATAGTATGCTTGTCATATCTAATAGCTTTATTGTGCAATAAAACTCTGCTCTAGTTATGTATTTTTCTAGTCATCTTTTGAAATTGCATTGTGGCTCTGCAAATGTTGTTGGCTGATTATGATTAATCACTTTTGTTTTTCCTCATTTGTTAGTTGTTTTGGTTAAAAGCATCTGCAGAATGAATTAATGTCATGTAAGGCGACAGATATTACATTCAAATGTGATGTTTCTCTAGTGTCCTTTTTGCATTATAAATATTTGCATTATATTAAAAGGTATTTTTGAAACCAGTAAAACCTCTGATAGAGTTGCCTGTAACCCGAAGGCAAATAAAACATGATATGGCATGAACTACTTCGTAAGAAGTCATTTTCCTGTGGTCTGAGCAGTAATGTTATCCTGTTGTTCTTCTGCAGTTTATCATAGAGGACATGAAGCAGCACCAGACCAATAAACACAGTAATCTTCACCGAGAGGACCAGCACATCACGGTGGAGGAGCTGTGGAGGGGCTGGAAAATATCAGAAGGTAAAGAAAGATGGACAGAGAAAAAACGTGGGCTGGGTGGCGTATACAGCACTGTGAGACAGAAAAAATGTTGTTCACTTGTAGAGATTCTGCTGTACTGTTGCTACTGTGGTAGATATATTTTGCAGGCATCAATGGGCAGGACAATTTCATATTATTTACATGTGAGAGCAAAAAACAGAAGCATGGAATAATTTGAAAATACTGAGCAGGATGTGTCCCAAACTAGTCAAGTCAATACAAGAAAGGTCTGTTTTTTAACTTATTTACATCCCAACCTGCCCCATAAATATAAAATTCAGTTGATGAAAGGTGTGCATATATATTGGCTAGCTAGTATTAATTTATGCGTAACTATACCTTTTGTTATTTATCAGTTAAGATCATTAACCTTAAAAAAAAATCATAATTATGAAATAAGGTGAAGTATCTTTTATTTGTGAAGTATTTAATGGAGCACATTCAACACAATCTCCAGGAATTTAATTTGTGCTTGGTCTTGGGTTTTCCTAGTAGTGATGTCCTTAGATGTCTGAATGGAGTGATGTCACTAAATTGAACAAGCTCACTCTAAACAAAGATGGTGTGTTATTATGGAGTGATGTCATCTTACAGCATCAGGCTCTGTTGAAGACACTGGGGCTATCATTTCCCTCTGATTTTAGGGATAAATTATGGTTAGGGTTAGAGATCGGTCTGTGTTTTTGGATAGTAATGTTGTGCCAGGATCAGTAAAAGATGTTGATCTAGGAACATGTCTGATCACATGGCAAAATCACGACAGACAGTGGTGGTGAATATACTGTGTAGTGGGGTCCTAACATCTAAGTCTAATGAGTCATTTTTTCCAATGCTTTAAGATCTAGTCAGATAGAAATTGAAACCATGATATGACCTGGACTAAGGCTCTCCTGACTAAAGTTTTTTGTGTGTGTGTGTGTGTGTGTGTGTGTGTGTGTGTGTGAAGCGTGGCGAATTAATGTCATGTAAGGCGACAGATATTACATTCAAATGTGATGTTTCTCTAGTGTCCTTTTTGCATTATAAATATTTGCATTATATTAAAAGGTATTTTTGAAACCAGTAAAACCTCTGATAGAGTTGCCTGTAACCCGAAGGCAAATAAAACATGATATGGCATGAACTACTTCGTAAGAAGTCATTTTCCTGTGGTCTGAGCAGTAATGTTATCCTGTTGTTCTTCTGCAGTTTATCATAGAGGACATGAAGCAGCACCAGACCAATAAACACAGTAATCTTCACCGAGAGGACCAGCACATCACGGTGGAGGAGCTGTGGAGGGGCTGGAAAATATCAGAAGGTAAAGAAAGATGGACAGAGAAAAAACGTGGGCTGGGTGGCGTATACAGCACTGTGAGACAGAAAAAATGTTGTTCACTTGTAGAGATTCTGCTGTACTGTTGCTACTGTGGTAGATATATTTTGCAGGCATCAATGGGCAGGACAATTTCATATTATTTACATGTGAGAGCAAAAAACAGAAGCATGGAATAATTTGAAAATACTGAGCAGGATGTGTCCCAAACTAGTCAAGTCAATACAAGAAAGGTCTGTTTTTTAACTTATTTACATCCCAACCTGCCCCATAAATATAAAATTCAGTTGATGAAAGGTGTGCATATATATTGGCTAGCTAGTATTAATTTATGCGTAACTATACCTTTTGTTATTTATCAGTTAAGATCATTAACCTTAAAAAAAAATCATAATTATGAAATAAGGTGAAGTATCTTTTATTTGTGAAGTATTTAATGGAGCACATTCAACACAATCTCCAGGAATTTAATTTGTGCTTGGTCTTGGGTTTTCCTAGTAGTGATGTCCTTAGATGTCTGAATGGAGTGATGTCACTAAATTGAACAAGCTCACTCTAAACAAAGATGGTGTGTTATTATGGAGTGATGTCATCTTACAGCATCAGGCTCTGTTGAAGACACTGGGGCTATCATTTCCCTCTGATTTTAGGGATAAATTATGGTTAGGGTTAGAGATCGGTCTGTGTTTTTGGATAGTAATGTTGTGCCAGGATCAGTAAAAGATGTTGATCTAGGAACATGTCTGATCACATGGCAAAATCACGACAGACAGTGGTGGTGAATATACTGTGTAGTGGGGTCCTAACATCTAAGTCTAATGAGTCATTTTTTCCAATGCTTTAAGATCTAGTCAGATAGAAATTGAAACCATGATATGACCTGGACTAAGGCTCTCCTGACTAAAGTTTTTTGTGTGTGTGTGTGTGTGTGTGTGTGTGTGTGTGAAACGTGGCGATGATTTGAGATGATCCAAAGAGCATCTTAAGCTTCAATGGAATAACGCCTGACCTTCTGTACAAGGTCACTTGATCAATGTCACAAAAGTTACATAGAAAAATGCAGAATCTGAATATTTTTCTCCATTCTTCCTGATTTTTTTTTTTTTTTCAAGTTTTAATTAAATTGTGATTTTTTTTCAGTGTGCACAATCAAACCCTGCTTTGTTTTTACTGATGTACACACACTGACCAAAGGCCAAATATTAAAAGAATACTGAACATTGAGCTCATAAATATTTTTTGTTTTTCTGTTTTTTTTTTTTTTTTTTTTTTTTTTTTGGAGTTTTGTGTTCAGAACATGTTAAAGAATTACAAATTTGTCATTTAAGTAAGTTAATATTCTTTTTTTTTGGTAGGTTTCTTCTCGCCCCCCTCATTTGAGTCTTTTTCTCTCTTTCTCAGTGCACAACTGGACACTGGAGGATGCAGTTCAGTGGCTGAAAGAGTCAGTGGAGCTTCCTCAGTACGAAAAAAACTTCAGAGAGTTTAAAGTAGACGGCAACATGCTACCTCGGTAAATACACACACTTTGGTCTGTTCATCATGGACTTTCCATTGACTTGCATTGTTTTTATACTTAGGTATAATACTCCTGCTCCTAAACCTATCACAGCCTCACACAAACATTCTTTTTTCATTTATGCAATATTTTTTATGCCACACTTATGTTAAAGTGTGTTAGAACCTAATAGGGTAAAAAAAATCAACAGTTGTGAATTTTTAACAGCAGTGCTTCCCTCTAGTGGTGATGATGTGTCAGTACACAGACAGTAAAGATGTGTATGAGCATTGGGGGTAAAGAAAGGTTTAGGGTGTTGAGTTTCCCCTCAGGACCACTTCTCCATGACTCATGAAATGATGTCACAGCAGCAGATCACCTTTCACCTGCAGCTATGCTTAGTATGTGTGTGGCAGCACATGTGATCTTTCAGTCATCTAGTACTCACTACTTAAAATTAGTCCTTAGATGCTTGAACTTGCCATTCATGCACACACACATAGTCACATAAACTGTGTTTTGCAGTTAAAGCAATTAGATTTTCATAGACATTTCAGATAGATTTATTGGAAGCTCTAACATTTCCAAGTAAAGTTTGAAATCACAAACTGACCTGAAACTGGCTGATTTAGTGTGATCTTGGTTTATTCTTACCCCCTGACCTGCTGTGTTTTTCCTTTCCATTACAGAATAGCGGCCAATGAACCATCATTTATGTCAATGCAGCTAAAGATATTAGACCAACGACATAAACAGAAATTAAATCTAAAAGCGTTAGATGCAGTGCTCTTCGGACATCCACTACGTAAGTGTATTCACATAAGCTGGAATAAGGCTTGTTTAATTGTTTATGTAAAGGGAAAGTTTAGCCCAAAATTTACATTGTTTCAAACCCATATGACCTTGCTTCTTTGGAACACAAATAATACTGTACGCCACAAATAATGTCGCTCTTTTCAGTGCTGTTAAAATGATTGAGATATGAAGCTTTTAAGGTACAAAAAGAATGCAGTAGTAACACAAAAGTGTCATAAGTAGTCAATATGACTGCATTACCATTCAAAAGTTTGGTGTCAGTACAATTTTAAGAATAATATTCAGCAAGGACACATTAAATTGATCATTGTAAATAAATACATTCTGTTCTTTGAACTTTGTATTCAGCAAAAAGTGAAAAAATGTATCATGGTTTCTCCAAAAATATTAAGCAACATAACTGTTTTCAAGATAATAGTAATAGTAACAATAATAATAGCATATCAGAATGATTTCTGAAGGATCATGAGACACTGAAGACTGGAATAATGGCTGCTGAAAATTAAGCTTCTATATTAAAATAGAAAACAGTTGTTTTAAATTCACAATACTCAATATTTCATAATATTACCATTTTTACTGTAATTTTAATAAAATACATGCAGTCTTCATAAACATATTAGACACTTTTCAAAAACTTTTAAAAAGTTATATTTTTGAACTGTGTAGTGTATGAGCGAAATTCAAAGAAGTGTGAGAAACAGACCAAAACTGGCACTTTCATGAGAGAAACAGTGAAATAATCCATGAATTAATTGTACTTTTTGAGTCAGATCTTTTCAATGAATCGGTTAATCCGTTCTCAAAGTGGGTCCAAATGACTCATTGACAACCAGAATCTGGTTGCAGCATTTAACAGCTCACTGAAATCACTAAAGTTTGGACACTTTCTTCTTACACAAAGCTATGTATAGAAGTATTTCTTTTATTGTAATATTTGCTTGTTTAGTGGGTATACATGCTCTCTTTTTCTCTCTTCTTCCTCTAGGTCCTCACCATCACTGGCTGAAGGACTTTGTTTTGATGATTTCAATCATCATTGGTGTGGGTGGCTGCTGGTTTGCATACATACAGAACAAGTCGTCTAAAATTCACGTCTCCAAGATGATGAAAGATCTGGAGAGTCTACAGCATGCTGAACAGAGCCTGATAGAGCTACAGAGCCGGTGAGAGAGAAAGCAAATAACAGACAGTGAGAGAGATATTCTGTACCCTCGAGGGAAGAGGTCATCATTTACTCACCCTCATGCCGTTCCAGATCTGCACGACTTTCTCTGTGGAACACAAAAGGAGAGACTAGCTCCAATATGTCAAAAAGTCCATGCAACTCTCACGCTAAAATTTCTGAAGCCATAAGATAGCTGTATGTGAAAAACAAGACTTTTTTCGTCTTCATCCACATCCATATGACATTGTGACGTCAGTACAATGAGAGTACTTGTCATTGAAGTATGGCATTACATTCATAATGTTATATATGACATCTTTTGTTTTTTTCTATAGCCCTTTCACTTTCATTATATGGAAAAGAGTTGAGATGATATTTGTTCATTTGGGTTTGGAACAACATGAGGGTGAACAAATTATGAAAGAGTTTTATTATTATTATTATTTCAAATTGCAACACACCAGATTTCAGATGTGACTTAAATTTCTCTGTGGTTTCATCAGGCTGGAAAAGGCTCAGGAGGAGAACCGGACGGTAGCAGTGGAGAAGCAGAACCTGGAGCAGAAGATGCGTGACGAGATCAACGGAGCAAAGAGAGAAGCCAGCAGACTGCGAGAGCTGCGAGAGGGGGCTGAATGTGAACTCAGCAGACTCAAGTATGCAGAGGAGGAACTAGTGCAGGTAGGAACCAGTATATATCAAATAAAGTTAGTTAGTCTTTAGTGTGATAACCCTTACAAATAAGAAGTTCTGTTGTGTAAAGTGTGCTACTGGTATTCTTTTATACTTTTTTTAAACTAAAAATAAGAGAGTATGCTTTAAGTCTACTTGGCTTATACTGACTGACAAGTATTCAGAAAAGTATATTTTGCTAAGTATTCTAAATATATTATGCTTCAAATGTAAGCCTGCGCTGCAGTTATGTCATCTGCCCCTTCACATGCCCAAGCTCTTTAAAGCTAAATGGATTCTGATTGGCTCTCAATATATTTATTGTCCTTCAGCTAGAAAAATCTTTGTGAAAGTGACTTCAGAACTATCGTTCCTCTGGCTTTTATGGTTATAGCTGAGGTGTGGACTTGTTATTGTTATACTTCCTCTGTGTGAATCGACCTTAAAGGCACAATATGTACGATTTTTTTATTAAAATATCCAAAAACCACTAGAACAGTTTTATATATTTTGCTGACTTGTGTACTTAACATTATCCCAAATGTTTCGAAGAATGTTTAAATCCAGAGAAATAAGCAATTTTAACTAGTGACACGGACCGTGTCTATAGTGTCATTGTGTCGCCTGCCAATGACGTCACACACCCTCGATTTCCGGTTTTGTTTTCCGCTTTAATATGCTATGCATTTTATTAGACAGGTGACGACCGCACAGAGTAGCATTATAACAGAACGTTCAAATGTATCTAGTATGATAAAACAGCGCTGCTTTTTTTCCCATATACGCATGACCGGAAGGAGCAGAAGCAGTCGACTGTGGCATAATAAAAGCTCCGCTGCTTTTGAGCCGTGTGTCGCGCTCGTTCAGCAGCCTCGTTTCGCTTCAACGGCTTTCAGCCTCACCCTTCTTCATACTACGACGTTAATAAATCTTTAATACATTAGCTCATCCCGTCATCTAACTACGCCTTTGTTTGTTGAATACACGGCCTCTAGTGGCAAAAAATTACATATTGTGCCTTTAAGTATGCATTGAAAAAACTTATCCATAAGTCAGTAACACTGACAAACAAAATTCTATAAAACTATTTTTATTCAATTTCTAAATTGTAAATTCATTAACAGTTTATTAAAATCCATTAAAAAATTAAACAAACGGCGGTGATAACCTTGCAGGCAGCGCACCGACATACAGCGCTGTTGTGCTGTGGGCGTCCCGAGATCGAATCCCAGCACGTGGACCTTTCCCAATCCCACCCCCCTCTCTCTCTCCCAATTCGATTCCTGTGATTACACTGTCCTATCTAAATAAAGGCAAAATGCCACAAATAAATCTTTTTTTTTTTAACAGATAAAACTAAAAGTTAAGGATATACAAGTATACTACTAGTTCATTGATATTAGTGTACATCCTAAATAAAGTATACTTGGACAATATACTTTTATACTTAAAGTATACTTGTTTTTGTAAGGAAAGCCAGACTTTTGACTACACAGTAAGCAATCTGACATGTAAAACAACCAATCTCAGTTATTTTCTTTACATGATGCATATATGAAGCGTGTAAATCTAAAATTAATTGACTTTGGGGTCTCTAAGTCTCAAAACAGAACAGAAGCATTAATATAATAAAATGTAATTAAGTACTTTTATCCAAAATGTATTCATTCCTGCTGTAGCGTCTGGACCAATCAAACACACAATATATATTTTGTTAGCTATATTTAACAAATACTCACCCCTCAGTTAACAAGCCATATGAGGACCTATGGACCCTTCCCCCGAAATGCGTAACACCCTAGGAAAGCCGAACAGGCCCCTGGTCCCCATGGCATTTCCCCATGAGCTGATTCGCTACACTGCAGTTGTATCATTGCATTTCTGTTGCCTTTCATCACTACGGCCCTATTCTGTAAAAACACCACTAGATGGATGCATCGTTCCTCAAGTTGTGATTTCTGTCCTTCCACATTACAAGTAATAAATTACAAGTTCCAAAGAGTGTTTGTGTTTGTTGGCTATTTCCAGGTGCGAATGGCATTGAAGAGAGCAGAGAAGGAGATGCAGTCAGATTGGTCGGTGCCAGAAGCCCTGCAGATGTGGCTTCCGCTCACACATGAGGTGGAAGTGCAGTACTACAACATTAAAAAACAGAATGCCGAGCTGCAGCTTACGGTCGCAAAGGACGAGGTGAGTGATTTACTGTTTACACTTCCTGCCAGGGCAGAAAATGCTTTTTTACCAACATATTTTAAAGTTGGAGCCCAAATAGTTTGGAAAATATTTATGTTGCATCAACTATTATACATTAAAAGTGAAGTTTAATTTTCAGTTTAAACCTACCTAAACATCTCGTTCACTTTCTCTCTCAGTGTCTAACAAAAATGAAGCTGAAACTTTCCCCTGTTAATTTAGATTTCTAATGATGTGGTTAAATTACTTTTTAACTACATGGTTTGTTTTGCCGTTTGTTATCTGCATCTGGAATGAGTCATCAGCAGTTAAGCTAAAACAATTAGCAGTCACTGCAGCACGAGAGATGAGCTTGCGTTCAGTACAACCAACAAATGTGCAGATCACATATGAGCTGACTGGTGCATTTCCATGCAGCATCATTGTGTTTTCATTACTTGTGTGCCTCTGTGTTCATGTTGTGTAAATTTCAGGCAGAAAAGATCAAGAAGAAGAGGAGCTCTGTGTTTGGTACCCTCCATGTTGCACACAGCTCATCGCTGGATGAAGTAGACCACAAAATACTTGAGGCTAAGTAAGCACACATAATTCACAAGCAATCGCTAATGGTTACCCACATTAAATGAAAGCTTATTAGTGTTTTTTTTTTCTTTTTCTTTTTAGAAAAGCTCTGTCAGAGGTCACAGCCTGTTTGCGTGAACGTCTTCACCGCTGGCAGCAAATAGAGAAGTTATGTGGCTTTCCAGTGGTTAATAACTCTGGGCTGCCCAGCCTCACCGCCTCCCTGTACGCCGACCACAGCTGGGTGGTCATGCCGCGGATGTCGGTGCCACCCTACCCAATCGCTGGCGGGGTGGACGATCTCGATGAGGACATGCCACCAATCATTCCACAGTTCACCTGTAAGATCCTCTCTTTAAGCCCAAGATTGTGAGAAATGTTGTGAAAATTTGACTTTAAATTACTACATTTTTTAACTAATGTACTGTATGTCTTAATAATGTGCAAGAACTTTTCTGTCGAATCCATTCAGATGCATTTAAAAACATTGCAGGGATACACTTTTTTTAATATTGTACATTATAGGCTTGTGATGCCTAAATTGCTCTCTAACATCACACATCATGGTCTCACGCAATGAAAAATAAATTGCCAAGCAAAGAGGACACTGACAATGAGCAGGTTACGTTTGGTATGAAACAAATGGCGCTTTTCCACTGCGTGGTACGACTCGGCTCGGCACGGCTCAGTACGGCACGGCACGGTTCGGCTCGGCACGGTTTGCGTTTCCACTGCAGTTCAGTACCGCTTTAGAGTGGGCGGGATTATTCACATGCCGTTATAGTTGCGCCGCCTCTACTACCACGACTCCTAAAAAAAACTTTTTCATTCCGCGTCGCCCCATCAAGCTCTCGCTGGATCCGCTCCTCTGCTATCAACGAGAGGAACGTCTGTTCTTCCGCAACAGACAACAAAACTTTTTGGTTGTTAAAAAAAGGTGCGCTCGTTCAAAACGGTTGTGTTCGATCCTTCGCTGGCTGTGCTGATTTAAATCTAGCGGTTCTTTTGTGTTTGTGTCGCAAGTTCAGTGACGCAGGTAGTGACGATTCTCTCCGACCAATCCGTGATCAGCAGAGTTTACACGTCACGTTTTGGTAATGGTACGGTTCACTTGGAACCCCAGCCGAGGTGGTACTAAAAAAAGTACCAGGTACTGTACCCAGTGGAAAACCCCCAAAAAGTGAACCGTACCATGCAGTGGAAAAGAGCCAAAAGTCTGAGTTTTCAAATTGTATTTTTTTAAGAAATTCACACAAAAAAGACAATTTTGTTTTTGCTGTAGATTGCTGTAGCGCCTCAGTTCAAGTGGCGCATGAACCGATCATCTTTTCCTCTTTACTAGTTAAAGCACGGAATAAACATGAATGAATATCAAAAGGTGTCTTGTTTCAAACAAGGAAAGACATCCGTACACGGGATTTTTCAAGTTCAAGTCCACCAATGTTCATTTGCTCTCCTGTCTGGTTTATTTGTCAGAAAAAAAAGGCAGATTCGGCGTTATGATTGGTTAGATTGCCTATCAAGCAAACTCTTGGCGAAGAGTGAATTAAGAAACTAGTTAATCATGAGAATTGGTCCATAAACTAAAGTCTTACCTACCATGTGTAAGTGCATAAAGATCTGTCTTTTCTACACAGCTCCTTTGATTCGACCTCCTCTGACTCGCAACAGCAGTGTTTGTCGTTCTCGCAGAAGTCTTATGTCTCAACCCTCGTCCCTTTCTCCTGACCCTGATCTGTTGTCTATGGCCTCGGCCCCACTGGTTTACAGACCCGACGGAGACGATGATCACATCTTCTTCACTGTAGAAAGGAAGGGGTACGTCATCTACAGCTTTTCTTTGTATATATTAATTTATTTAAGATTCTGTACATGGTAATTTGTTAATTTATAACATCACATTTATTTGTGATTCATTTCTATGAATGTGTTTCAGTCACAAGTTCGATGATGATTCATGTTTTTTAAATGTTTTTGAAAGTCACTTAAACTCACCAAGGTTTATTTATATATCAAAAATACAGTAAAAAAGTTATATTGTTAAATGCTATTGAAATTTAAAATAACCGTTTTCTACTTGAATATATTTTAAAATTCCATTTATTTCTGTGATGGCAAGCCATTACTCCAGTCTTCAGTGTCACATGATCCTTCAGAAATCACTTTAATATGCTGATTTGGTGCTCAGTTATTGTCACTTATTATTGGTGTTCAATTATTAATAATGGATCTTACTATTATCAGCGTTGGAAACAGTTTATGCTACTTAATATTTTTTGTGGAAATTGCGATGCATTTTTTTCGTAGTTCGTAGATAAATAGAAAGTTCAGTGGACAGCATTTCTATGGAATAGAAATAACATTATAAATGTTTTTACTGTCAATTTTGATCAATTGAATGCTGATTCGGTCTTGCTGAATAAAACCATGAGTTTCTATATGATAAAAGTACTTAAGCCAAACTTTTGAATGAGAGCGCAAAATATACACAAAATATAAGGCAGTGAAAACTGTCTTCAATATTTCAATATTTATAATAATAGGAAAAGTTTCTTGAGCACCAAATCGGCATATTAAAATGATTTAGAAGGACCAATGGCTGCTGAAAATTCAGCTTTGCCATCACAGGAATAAATTCAATTTTAAAATATATTAAAATAGAAAACAGTTTTTTAAATTGCAATAATATTTCAAAATATTAACGTTTTACTGTATTTTTTATCAAATAAATGCCGCTTTGGTGAGCAGTTTAAAAAAATCTTCGTTATTTCAAACATTTGACTGATCGTGTGTATCTTGCTTAATGATTTTTATGCGTTTTGTGTTTTTTTATGTTTCTGTCACACAGAGATCCTCAGGACACATGCTCAGATTCAGATTCTCTCAGTTCCTCTTTGGGCAGGAAGCAGTTCTCTGGTCCCTCTGTTCAAAGTACATGTGTTACGGGGACGGATACCCCACCACGTAAAATCTCTCGCGAGGAACTTCCTTTCCTGGTGCAAGAGGCCCAGACTGTCACCATGGAGACCTTACCTCCTCCCACATCCTCCCCTTCATCTCCACTTGACTCCTCTTCATTTCACAAGGGCTCTCCTGAACTTACCCACTCTTCCGTCCTCCCAGAATCTCAAAGTTTAACCTTTCACCCTGGCACCAAAGCTATGGCCTATAATGGCATTCTGGAAAAGTCATACAGCATGGGGCAGCTGCCTGCTGGTGGAACGCCTCCAGAGGGTCACTACCCCTCCATTAGCTCACTCGACATAGAAAGCAAATCTATCAAGGAGCCCAAGCAACTCCAACCCACCTCCTCCCAGGACTCTTGCGATAACGGACAGAAAAAACGCTCCAAGATCAAGAGCTTGTTCAAGAAAAGCAAAAAGCTGTGAGGAACAGTAGAGAAGATGAAGAAATGGAGAGAAAAAGAAGCCTTAAAACAAAATAAATGAGGGTGATGCTGTCAACCAGAAGCCAAAACATTTTTCAGTTTCTTTGTCCTTTTTTTTATTTAAATGGAATGTAGCTTCATCTGGGTAGAGTCCTGGGTTGGAAGCCTTTTTATGGTGATTTTTTAGCCTCACACATATGCCTTTAAAGGCCAGAAAATGTCATGTTAACATTTTGCAGAACATGGCCTCTTCACTGTCTTCTGTTAAGTCTCTGTTTTCTATAATGTGCACCCTAATGATGTCACCAGGAAGGGATCAGGAAATATACCAAAACAGTATAAACAGAACAGTCCAAAATTCGCCAAATCTCCAAATTCTTAAAAAAATAGACTTCCTGGAAATATGTCTTTAAAGGGAGGGTTCACCTTCAAGTGAAAATTCTGTCATCATTTACTTTCCCTAACCTGTATGCTGTAGTTTTTTACGCAAAATAATTTTTTGAAGAACTGTTACATAGTTCTTGCCATACAACCAAGGTTCATAGTGACCAAGGGCTGTTAAACACCAAAAAGCAACATAATAGTAGCTTATACTACTCGTGCTATTTTCCAAGTATTCTATCAATCTGCGCTTTGGTTAAAGTTGGCCTACATACATGCTTCAGATGGATGTTTGACTTACACTGCATCTGTTTTTTTTTTTTTCAGCTTCACATTGGTCACCTAATTAGATTGTCAGTTCACGTTTTAGTGTTTAATCCTGTTCTGTACACACACTAGTAATTTACAAGAGTAAAATTGTAAAAGATAAAGATAAAAACTGCATTTTACAACCAAATTGAATCCTGAAAATGCAGGTAGTGACAACCACATTTACAACTGTTTTGACTCCTTAGTGTTGCCAGATCTTGCTAGAAAAAAACAAAACAAATAACAACAAAAACAAATAAGAACAAGCCCATATTAAACTTACATCCAAACGCATTATCTTGGAAATAAGCCACATTCCAAAATATAGCGACTTGCACCTACATCTTTTATTAACTTAATAATAATAATTGAGCTGAGCCCAAACAATAAGGCCAAAGAGGCTTAATAAACTTTGCTATAATATATGGGGACATGGCAACCCTTCAAGAGCACCCTCTGCAAAGCAGACTTCCAAACATAAATAAAACACATGGCTCTGTTGACGGTGGTTTAGTTAAAATCACTGAATATAATGGTCGTTGGTTGCTGTAATATTACTTTGGTCAAAAATAGAGGATACCAAATGCGCAAGATGACAAAACGTTGTTATGGTTACCATGGTGTCAGTAAATGCAATTTCAAGAGTGAGATCTGTTCCATACGAATACGAATCTGTAATTTAGGGGATTTGCTCCCGAATTTAAAGGGATAGTTCACCCAAAAATGAAAATTCTGTCATTAATTACTTACCTTTATGTTGTTCCAAACATGTAAGTCCTTCGTTTATCTTCAGAACACAAATTAAGATATTTTTGATGCAATCCAAGAACTCTAAGACCCTCCATAGACAGCAACACAACTCTAATGTTGTCAGGTCCAGAAACGTAGCAAGGGCATCGGTAAAATAGTCCATGTGACATCAGGGGTTCAACCGTAATTGTACGAAGCTACACAAATACTTTTTGTGTGCAAAGAAAACAAAAATAACTTTATTCAACAACTCTTCTCCTCCTCATCCCGTCTTCTTCTTCTCTTAGTTAATGGCGGATTGCAAACAACTTTTAGGTGCATACCGCCACCTACTGTACAGGAGTGTGCAACATTATGTCATTTAAAGTGTTTTCATATTCTATTCGTCAACCCTGCATCTTTAAGAAATTTAAATAATGCCTCCCGGGTAACTCTTATGCCCTCTCCCTCTCCTTCTGTTCCCAGTATCCCCATCAGATTCCGTCCTGCCTCCCGAACCCTATCTTGAAAAACCCGTCTTTCCACCTCATATAATATACAGTGCAGTATGATATGTTCAGCATTTTCTTTAACCCCACAGTTTTCACTAATCCTTTTCCCCATTAAAAACAAGGTGCCATTCAATCCTGTGTGATCCACTCTCAGTCTTGTCATTATAAGTTCTTCCCACCTGGTCCTTTCTCTATAATTTTTAATACTGACAGACTTTTGTATTTTAAAATATCCCTTTCCTTTCCTGTCTTCCTCCCACCATTTCTGCCATATTTCAATACCTTTCTTCTTAACTACTGCTTTTCCTTCTCGTTTCCAGAGTGGAATTGGAACTGTTATTTCCTTTTGTACTGCCTCTTTTGCTAGTTTGTCTGCATTCTCGTTTCCTTTCACTCCCTCATGCGCTGGTAAAAACGAACATCTATACCACCCTGATGTAATCTTAAAAGGGTGGTTGATTGCGATTTCACTTTTTTAACGTTAGTTAGTGTGTAATGTTGCTGTTTGAGCATAAACAATATCTGCAAAGTTACCAAGCTTAAAGTTCAATCCAAACGGAGATATCGTCTTTTAAAATTCTGGCAGTTTAATGCCTACAAAAACATAATACACATAAAAATCTATTCATATATGAATCTGTCTTCTAACGATTTTAAGGATTCACAAGTTTCAAAATCAATGTTCTAAAGCAGCGGTTCTTAATACTGTTCCTCACGTCCCCCTGCTCTGCACACGCTCTGCATCTCTCTCTCTTTGTCTCATTCAGCTCAGCTCCAACAATGAACTTTTTCAATTATACACTTATTTCCACATAGCTATGAGAAGCGTTAAACATGGACGCGTGTGCAGTTGCCGTACTGTATTAACGCTTTAATCAGGATAAAACTGTATATTAAAAGCTAACATAAGCAGTAGCATTTACAAATAAGAGCATATCTAAAAGTATGAGACAACAACAAACAAAAAACATAGGCCTACCAATAAAAGCTGTGCTTGCACAGGATCTGCACGAACCTCTTCAATAATATCATCTGCTTCTCAATCGGGCTCAAACTGATAAGCGATATTAACGACGCCGTTGTTTACAATACAACCGGAGCACATGTCGCAGAGGTGAGGGGCGGGCCGTTTAGACGAGCACTAGAGGCAGTTTAGCCAATCACAACACACTGGGCTAGCTAACCAATCAGAGCCCATCGCCTATTTCTGAGGGCGGGGCTTCATAAAAACAGGAAAAGATCAGCCCTTTTCTCAGAGAAGGGACAGAGCGGTGTGGAATAAAGGTAAAATATGTGAAAAATAATGTGTTTTAAAAAAAATTAAGCATTAACACATGTTAGACTGCACCCCATAAACACAAGCCTAGAAAAAAAAACAGTGAACCACCCCTTTAACAAACTGTGATGAAGCTCTATAAGTAAGTCTTCTCTGACAGATGCCATTGACTGTATGCTTTTTATGACAGCTAAGGAGTCTGTGCATAATACCACCCTATCAGGTCTGACCTCTTCCACCCACTGTAATGCAATAATGGCTGCAACGATTTCTGCTGTATATACTCCTCATCCCGTCTGCTGTGGTGCGCCACCATTATGGAGAAAGTATCACGATGCATGCGCTTGCTTCCGCACCGAAGCAGAAGCACGCGCATGCGTCGCGATACTCTGTCCACAATGGCAGTGCGTTGCAGGAGACTGGATGAGGAGGAGAAGAGCTGTTGAATAAAGTTGTTATTTTTGGTTTCTTGGTGCACAAAATGTATTCATGTAGCTTCGTAAAATTATGGTTGAATTTTGGTATTTTACCGATTTCCTTGCTATGTTTCTGGACCTGAGAACATTACAGTTGTGTTGCTGTCTATGGAGGGTGTGAGAGCTCTCAGATTGCATCAAAAATATCTTAATTTGTGTTCTGAAGATGAACGAAGGTCTTACGGGTTTGGAACGACGTGAGGGTGAGTAATTAATGACAGAATTTTAATTTTTTGGTGAACTAACCTTTTATAAATGCAGTTGCCACTCCTGATACTCCACAGTCAGTGTATGTGGCCATTGGCAAAATCAAACCATAAGGCATCATGGTTTGTCATTTCATAAAGACTTGCTGACAAAATGAATTATAAAAAAAACAATCTGCCCTTCTTGTAGATTACTGTAATTATATTACTAAATTGTTTTCATCACGTCAGACTTGACCGACATTTCTTTTACATTTTTTTTTTAATTTTTTTTTTAAACAGCCCATGGTCACCATGAAATGTGGTTTTAATGGCAAGACCTATATAACAATTCTTAAATAAAAAAAAAAAAAAACTACTTTTGTGATCCACAGAAAAATAATTAGCATTTAGGTTTGGGATGACCCGAGGGTAAGTAAACAATGACAAAATTTTCCTTTTTTTTTTTTTTTCCCTCACATTTGAAGTCACAAGAGTTTGAACGGCAGCTGGTTGTTGTTTGAGATATCTCTGCCTTTGACATCATCACAAGCTTAGTTTTTAATATTTAGTTAGTAAGGTTGAGTTTTCCCTATAGTGTGAAAATCATAATAAGTCCTTTCCCTTCCTCGTAAGGGCCCAGGGTGAAATCTGGGCTTTCAGTTTTGTCACTTCTGTTTACTGCCACAGAGCTCCCGTACTTGACATTATTTTTTTAAGGAAGAACAAAGAAGAAAAAAAGAAAAGAAAAGAAGTAACACTTAACATAAAGCAGCATGTCAGAATGCCTACATAGTGGAATAATGAACACAATGTAATGGCTCAGTAAATTAATACAGATTGCTCTTTTCAGTTTTAAAATGTGCTAAATAATTCCGTAAGCACTATATTTCAATTATCATTACACTTTTAATTTTTGTTTTAAAACACCATTTTACAGTACTAGAATGATGCCAGCATATTGTTTTGGTGCATTCGTAAAAAAAATAAAAACAAACAAGCAAAAAACTAAATCTAAAAAAAAAAGAAATAAAACACACATACACATAGACACACACATACACAAACACAATCAAAAAAACAAAACCCAAACTGTAAAATTCACAGCGGACCTTTTGAAGTGTTTTGAAGACATGTTCAGGTGTGGTGTTTAGAAGGCATCTTGACTAACTGCTGTGTGGAAAGCGCTACTGAATTATCCTGCTAAAGGTTGTTGCACTACTGGTGGTTTTGGTGGCATAAGAGTAAGTTATGTTAGTTAGATCAAGGATAATATTTGTAAAGATGCGTTAAAAAGCAGAAAATTGACATCAGAGGCAGAAAAAATTAAAAATAATAATAATTTGATGGATTTAGAACGCCTCTTACCACATTTATTCTCTAAAATATTTTTATTTTATTTTATTTTTTCATCATGACTATGTTTATTAGAAGTTATTCAATTGTAGTAATGTGATTTCTTTTGGGTAGCTGAGGAAAGAGTTTTTATTTTTATTTTTTTCTGAGGAGAAATGTATATGATATGCAGATTTTGACCCAAAATCCCTCTTTCTTGGACTGAGTGCCCTGTTTCAAGGGCGTTGCTATCACTGTGATCATTATACCTCTCTCCACTCATACAAATCATCCACAATGGGGCACTAAACTGATTCTGTTTTGGCAAAAATGATTGCAACTTTTTTGAATTGCAAGACCTTTGTCCAGTGCCAGAGAGGACAGCGCAACAGTGGTGCCTAACAGTGGTTTGTCTCAGAACTCACTCAATTAAAAATAATAATAATTTGATGGATTTAGAACGCCTCTTACCACATTTATTCTCTAAAATATTTTTATTTTATTTTATTTTTTCATCATGACTATGTTTATATTAGACTATGTCTATTCAATTGTAGTAATGTGATTTCTTTTGGGTAGCTGAGGAAAGAGTTTTTATTTTTATTTTTTTCTGAGGAGAAATGTATATGATATGCAGATTTTGACCCAAAATTCCTCTTTCATGAACTGAGTGCCCTGTTTCAAGGGCGTTACCATCACTGTGATCATTATACCTCTCTCCACTCATACAAATCATCCACTATGGAGCACTAAACTGATTCTGTTTTGGCCAAAATTATTGCAACTTTTTTGAATTGCAAGACCTTTGTCCAGTGCCAGAGAGGACAGCGCAACTGTGGTTCCGAAATTTGTCTCAGAACTCACTCACTCAGCATTGTATATGCTGATACATATGAAGGATAAAAAAATCCCTCTTTCTTGGACTGAGTGCCCTGTTTCAAGGGCGTTGCTATCACTGTGATCATTATACCTCTCTCCACTCATACAAATCATCCACAATGGGGCACTAAACTGATTCTGTTTTGGCAAAAATGATTGCAACTTTTTTGAATTGCAAGACCTTTGTCCAGTGCCAGAGAGGACAGCGCAACAGTGGTGCCTAACAGTGGTTTGTCTCAGAACTCACTCTCACTCACTCACTCACTCACTCACTCAGCATTGTATACGCTAATACACATGAAGGATAAAAT